TATTTCGAAATAGTTATTTCGGGAGTTATTATTCAAAATAACTTATTTTGAGATACCCTTGTAGTGCAGACGTACCATTAGATAACTAAATACTTTTTTAGGGTGTAGGTCAGTGGTGGGCTCCTCCAGCACATGGCTCATCAAGGTAATTCACTGGTGGGCACGAGACATTTTGCTGATGTTAACTGTCTGTAGGCATAGCTCCCTACAGCCCCCACTGGCTGCAATTTGCCGTTCCCAGCCAATGGGAGCTGCAAGAAATGGAGCAGTTTGCAGCGCTGGCCATCACTTCCCACAGCTCTCATTGGCTGGGCAGAGCAAAATGTATCCTGTGGAACCTTGTGGGGTGGGGAAATCCTGCAGATCGTTAATGTCAGTGAAATGTCTTGTGGCTTGCAAGTGGATTAACCTGATGGTCATATGTGGCCTGCAGCCACTGATGTAGGCCTTGCTACTATTGTTGCGACTTGGTGCTGCTGTGTTCATATTAACTAGGACAATCTAGTTAATCAAGGAAAGAGCTTCAGTTCTATCCTCTGTATTTTCTTTCTTTCTTTCGTGGGACTCCGTCCTGTCTCTCACATCAATACAACCTTAAGAGGAGCACAAAGGGGACTAGTACTTGTGGGGAATGTTTGTGGTGGAACGAGGTGTACAGATAGTTCGGAATAGGAAGTCTATTCCGAATTACCTAGTTCGTGCCGCGTGTAGCCGTGGGCACGGAGTCCGAACTAGCGGACATTTAAAAATGGCGGCACCCGGCAACATGCAAATGAAGCCCGGGAAATTCAAATCCCGGGCTTCATTTGCAAGTTCGTATGACTACATTAACCACTCTAGTTCGAACTAGGTAGTGTAGACATACCCTTAGGCTGCATCTGTGCAGCAGGCAGTTATTTTGAAATAGTGTCAAAATACCATCAATCTGGAGGACTTCTTACTCCAACTCTCATTGTGCAAGGAGTAAGGGAAGTTCGAGGAAGAGTGCTCTGTTTCGAAATAAGTGCTGTGTAGATGCTCCCTATTTCGAAATAAGCTATTTTGAAATAAGCTGAGCAATAGCTCAATTTGTGTAGCTTCTTTCAAGTTAAACCCTGCAGTGTAGACACACCTGTAGAGAAATATCCAGTGAGTCTGCCTCCCTGTTGAAGAGATCTTGAAAAGATTTAAAATCGTTCCTTGTAATTGGGGATAGGGGCGTGATTGTCTTGTCTGGAGAGGATGACAACAAGTGTGTTGGGGGGCATGGTCTTTCCCTCAGTGACCTCCACTATGTCCTCCATGTCATCTTGGGGGCTTCACATGGAAGATGGATGGATGGCATTGAAGGAACAGTTTATTGGGCTCTAGACATGGTCCATGTCCCAGCCTAGCTAAGCAGATGGCAGAAGCATGGGTGGAAGCCATAGGAATGGATGCCATACTTTTCCTAGTCACTGCGGTGGTTGTGGTTGCGGTACCTTCTTTGGCAGGGAATGGATATCCTTTAGCTCTTACAACTTAAGTGAAAGGATTTATTCCTACAGATGGGAGCTGTGAATAAAACACAAGAGGAGAACTCACAATATGCATTGAACAACACATTACACAGACAACATCAAGAACAGTTACAGCATCATAGACTAGGCAAAGCAGGTAATAGAAACAAGGACACTTGTGTAGAGTTGTCTTCATATTTGCTTGCTCAGGTTTAGTGAATGTTACAATTTTCAACTAACAAATTATTTAGAAGGCTCTAAAATATTTTCAGGTGATGAGGTGATGACTTACAGCTTCTGAGTCACAACAGACGTAATAAAAAAATTGGAGATCATTACCTGGAGTTTTCTCTCTGGGATATAATATGTTGTAGAGTGAGCACCCACATTGGTCTAGGATGGCCATTTTTGGTCTAGTTTTCCCGGAATGTTTCCAAGTATACTGAGGCAATCAGTCTATGTCTACACTGGCGCGATCTTGCGCTAGAGCGATGCAAATGAGGCTAAGCGTGGAATATCGCTGAGCCTCATTTGCATACCTAATGAGCCACCATTTTGTGGAAGAGGATATTGCACAAGAAGGAGCTGTCTACACGGCCCCTTCTTGCGCAAGAAAAACCCTCTTGCGCAATGCCGTTATTCCTGAAAATAATCAGCATAGCGGCATTGCGCAAGAGGGTTTTTCTTGCGCAAGAAGGGGCACTGTAGACAGCTCCTTCTTGCGCAAGAGCCTCTTCTGCAAAATGGCGGCTCATTAGGTATGCAAATGAGGCTCGGCGATATTCCAAGCTTAGCCTCATTTGCATAGCTCTGGCGCAAGATCGTGCCAGTGTAGACATAGACTGACCTTTAGACAACGAGGCTAAGCAGCTTCATCCACCCATTCCCATAAGTTGAGGACAGCCAATATGGCATTGCAGGTGTGTTTCCTAGAGCATGAGGAGAATAATTATAGATGGGACACTGGACCTTGCAGGGTTTCAGACATCGAAAGAAGGAACAGGACATAAGAAAACCAGGAACCTCTAGGTGGTGAGCATTTGATAGCAGCTATCTAAACACAATGTGACTTTGTGGAGACCACATGAGTTAGCAGAAAAAAACCATAAACTATAAGAAAATTTATTTTTCAATATTAATACTAAAAGAGAGGATTGTTAAGTGTTGAGTAGGAAGATATAAGCAATAATGAATTAATGCTACAATTCTAGGCATTTATACTTTGTCTCATAACCAGAAATAAGTGGATATTATATCTTTTGTAAGTTGCGAGAGAGGATTATGCTGAAGTATGTGAGATGAGAATTTGTATCTTCACCAACTGAGGAACCAGATATGTACTTTAATGGATCGAACATATTTTTTCCAGCAGAGAATAAAGACACACATAAAAATAACTATATAAACTCCTTTCCTTTAAAAATGGAATATGACAGCATCTTCCTAAACTTAGCCACATTGTAGGTCTTATTGCAGAAAATTGTATTTCAAAAGTCTGCTTAATTTTCTGTTTGTTCTGTTTACCTGTCAGTCGATGGTCAGGGCAGCGCGTGTGTGTGTTATACACCTGAGTTTTCAACTGCTAGGACCGGGGTCCCTTCGCAGCGGGCGGCCTAGGGAAGGCCGACGGATGCCACAAAGGATCTGTCCTGTGGAGGCGACACGATCCAAACGCCCAGCTCTTACTGCATCTGCCCCTATGACTGGCTGGAGTTTTTAATTGTGTTGGGTTCTGTTACAGCAACAGGAGGAGTCAGGTTAAAGCTTAAACAATTACAGGTTTATTAAAGAAGCTTATGAATCATATGGTTACAATGGCTATTGCTCTATTTCTTAACTGCTAGCAAATATAGATCTTAAAAGTGGTTACAAAGAAAATAAAGATAGAAAATAAGAATAATAATGGTACCAAGTGACAGCTTAATCTTTAAAGAGCTCTAATTCTATGTGTGTATATATATACTTAAACAAAAGACACATACAGGTACAATTTTTACCCCCTTCTGACTCCAGTGGGTCAAGCCAGGGCTGGTCCCTCAATTTCTAGGAAAGATGAAGATGAGGTGGGCATCCCCGTGGAATCTCGGTGACTGGATTCATTATCCTTGAAAGCTATGGATGTAAACCTCATTTTTGCCCAGGAGACCAATCACCTAACCTGACCAGCAGATAGATGGTAGATTGACACTCAGAGTAAATGTGCTGCTGGACCCATCTTTATACCCATAGGGGCCCATATCCTCTTTCTTATCTAAGATGCCAAATTGTACTGGTCTGTTTTTGTGACGCCAGTTCTTACAAGCAAGTTTCAACTTAATTTACACTTGTAAGAGAGATAACTAAATTGTGAGTACTGGACATTTTTTTACTGGGCGAGAGATTCCTCCCCCCGTGGATGCTTGTGTGTTCATATCAATGTGGGTTTCAGTCAAGGGCACTCCTCTGCAGCCTCTTGGTCAGCGATTAGCTCGATCACCCTCATATCTCTGCTTACAGTTATCCAGGGTCACTGTGAGCCAGCATATCTGGGCCTCCTGTCAAGGCTTCAAAGACTATGCTGATTTTACTGCTCTGTGTGTGCCCTGTATGCTCCAGGCAAGCAAGATGGATGTTACGGGGGGGAGGACGCCGTCAAGGGGAGGTCATTTCTGGCCCCCCTTCCAACATTCCCCTCCAACGCTGGCCCAACCTCTGGCCTCTTGGCTAGCTTTCCCCTCTCGCTGGCAGCCCCACCACCTCTGCATGCACCAGGCTCCCGCTGCCTCTCCCACCTCCTGGCCTCTACATGCTGGGCGCCCGTTGTTCTAATGGACAGCCCCGCTCCTGTGTGTTGGGCTCTCACTGTCCTGCCAGCCTGCAAGGCTCCCTGGTGCTAGCTCTCCACCAGGACTCTCTGGTCCTGGAACATCCGTGATCTGCTGGATCAGAGACTCCCAGTTAAGAAAGTTTCAACCTGTGCAATGACGTGTATGATTTTTATTCCTTAATCAAAATCTTCTGATAGATCATTAGCTGAGGAGTCTGAACTCAGTCCTGGAAGGTTCTGAGCACTCTGGCCCCAGCACAGAAAAAAGCTTAAGCACACACCTACTCCAACTTAAAATTTCTTATAGGTCCTGTCCTATTGCAACCTAGGGCTGTGTCCAGACTCAGGGGTTTTTTCGGGAAAAGTAGCCTTTTTCCGAAAAAACTTCCCCTGCGTCCAGACTCAAGCCGCGTTCTTTCGAAATTAAATCGAAAGAACGCGGCTTTTCTTTCAATGGCGGTAAACCTCATTTCACGAGGAAGAACGCCTTCTTTCAAAAGTTCCTCTTTCAAAAGAAGGCGTTCTTCAATGTAAATAGGGCTTCTTCGAAAGAGAGCATCCAGACTCGCTGGATGCTTTCTTTCGAAAAAGCAAGCCGCTTTTTCGAAAGTTCAACGTGCAGTCTAGACGCTCTCTTTTGAAAGAGGCTTGCAGTCTAGACATAGCCTAGGTCTCTACTAGTTCTTTAAATAGCTCCTTTCTGGGCTTTTGCCATAGCTCAGCCAGCTTTTGCCGGACCAACTTACCTTCACTTCTGGTATGTGCTTAAAACTGTGCATTTGTGCCTTTCTTTGCAGCAACTTCCTCTAGACAGGCAAACAGTCTCAAAATCTACAGTAAATAAAACCTTTGTATTTCAGGTTCATTCGCCTCTACAAGCTCCACCCCATGGATCCATACCAGATTGGGCACTTGTGAAAGTAATACGAGTAATTGGACGTGCTATGCACTTAGAAAGAGGAAAGCTCTGCGAACAGAACTTCAAACAGGTAATCTATTTTTGCTGCCATTTTACACAAAAGAGAAACTGAAATACAAAACCGTTCACTAATGTGATATTGAGATTACTGTTCTAAAAATTCAAAAGTTGGGAAATGCAAACATTCAGATAACTTTAACCCATCTAGACTGTACATGTGGGCTGTGTCTAGACTGGCAAGTTTTTCTGGAAAATCAGCTGCTTTTCCGGAAAAACTTGCCAGCTATCTACACTGGCCGCTTGAATTTCCGGAAAAGCACTGACGATCTCATGTAAGATTTTCAGTGCTTTTCTGGAAATACTATGCTGCTCCCGTTCGGGCAAAAGTCTTTTTCTGAAAGACTTTTGTGCAAAAGGGCCAGTGTAGACAGCACAGTACTGTTTTCTGCAAAAAAGCCCCGATCGCGAAAATGGCGATCGGGGCGTTTTTGCCGAAAACCGCGTCTAGATTGGCCACGGACGCTTTTCCGCAAAAAGTGCTTTTCTAGAAAAGCACCCTGCCAATCTAGACGCGCTTTTCTAAAAATGCTTTTAATGGAAAACTTTTCCATTAAAAGCATTTTCGGAAAATCATGCCAGTGTAGACGTAGCCGTGCAGTATGGTTAGCAGCATAATTGATATGGCATAAAGGAATATCTGTTTTTTTAGCTTAATGCAGGGGTAATCAAAATTCATTGCACCATGATCCCCTTGTGATACCAAAACATACTGCACAATCCCGGGAGTGGGGGTGGGGATGAAAACGGGAGTGCCATGAGTGGAGGGGTCAAAGTCTGAGCCTCAGAAGCCCAGGTGAGGAAGGGGTCAAAGCTCAAGGCCATTACATTGAAACATAATGTAAAAACAACATTTAGTTTCCAAAACATCAATATTAAACCAAAAAAAACATAGTTCATCTGACGTTATAAACTGAATTTGACCCACATTCACAAATAATTTCAGTTGACACAAACTACATTTTTCTGTGACTGAAAGATCTTGCCGAACTCTTATTTCTGAAGAAAAATTCCATATTACTGTTTTTCACAGCTCGGGGACAGGACATGTACCCATTTATTTACAAACAGCTCTTTTTACTCCAAAATGGGGTTTGCACAGCTAGGCTACGTCAGAATTATGAGCCATTTCCGAAAGAGGAAATGCAAATGGAGTTCTCATGTGCATATGCCACGTTCTCATTTGCATTTTCTTCTTGGCTCCCTTTTGCGCAAGAGGTTTTTGCACAAAAAAGAGCTGTGTAGACGGCACCTTTTTGCGCAAAAAACCCTTTTTGCGCAAGAGCCGTTCTTCTACACAGTGCTTTTTCACACAAAAACCTCTTGTGCAAAAGGGATCTGAGGAGAAAATGCAAATGAGCGTGACATATGCAAATGAGCGCTCCATTTGCATTTCCTCTTGCATAAGAGGCTCGTAGTTTAGATGTAGCCCTATTATCAGCTGGTTCAGGCTCTAATTATCAACCGCTCATTTGCAAGCACTACTGTACTTCTGTGGAAAACTGACATCACATACCTCCAAAAGGATGATGGTGTTTAAATTTCTTGTAATTTCTTGTGTGTTTTACTTTTTTTCCATTAATTGCACTAAGAAATCTGGAAGCATGACAAAAAAAATTTTGACTTGGGATGCTGCCAGGGTAATATATGGCTCACGCACATACAGGGGTAATTTTGTCCATATCGATCTCAGTGAACTTCTGGATGGAGCAGTGTGGGAAATGGTTTTCCCGTCCCATTAATATATTTGCTCCATTTATTTTTTTCTCCCCACCACAAATCAGGAGAAAAAGTTCAAATCACACACTATGAAATGTTTTTCATTTAGGATCAATTGAAGCTATTTGTCTAGATAATTGCAGAGCCTTTTAGTTAGATTTATACTTTTTCTCAGATTAATTAGCTTACATTTCAAAACAAAAAAGTTGATTCATGCTGGAAAAAATGCACTCAAACTTTCTATAGGAAAAGAATGAAAAAGCGGAAAAGAAATCACGATTAAACTTGAGGATTTAAATCAAGAGTTTCTTCTTCCTAAATTAAAATTATGATTACAGTTGATGATTTAAAGAGCTGTCAGTTTAAAATCAGCCTAGTTGTGCCCTTTGGCCTTCCACTGAATTTTATAATTTAGCAGTGAGACAAATAGTAATCTGGTGTTTTGATATTATCCAAAAGTGCTTGACATAACACAGGCAGCAGCTATCAAATGGGTTACATTAAAACAGCATGGCATCCCCTAGAGAATGTTGAAAATCTTGCCTCTTGTAAATTTGCGTTGAGGGAAATGTATACTGAGCTGGAGGGCAACTTTTAATCTCTGAACACTAGGATACACATTTTGGTCAAGGGCACCAAAGCCCCCCTATGTTTTGTACCAGGATGCTGCTTGCTCCTGTCCCCTTTCCCTCACTAGCAGGGTGTGAGAGGAATGCATGCAGTTTGAATTGCTTACTCCTCTCTCCCCTCCCCAGTTGGGATCAAGAGGAATGAACACTCATCAGTGACCATCTGGGATCTTTCCCTGCTGTCAGGAAATAAACATGAGGTTTCCTATCACAAACATTGCTTAATTTACACTGAAAACTTTTCCATTTTTTCCCAAAGCTCCGTTTTTTGTGAAATGACAATAAAGCTGGATCACAGAGGACCCCTTGGTGTGCTGACATAGACATGTTTATGATATTTATGTTTAAAAATGTTTCCAAAGATTTTCGGTATAACAAAGGATTTTATATCTTACTATGTGACTGATTTTGGTGGAGGGCTTTCTTAAAACTACTTCACAAAGAGTCAGAAGTAAAGAAAGGGAAACTAAGTTGTCCAGCTATCTGAAAGAAAAGGGATATTGTCCCTTTAAGGGCTCTCTTCAACAGGGAAAGGAAGGGGGAGAGATTACTGCAGGGATGGACAGAAGGGACAGAGACTTTGGAAGCAAGTTTTTTTTGGTACTATAGTAATTACTGTTAAAATGTGTATTTTAGAAAAGGATTTTTTGAATAATTTATTTTAAAATCGATAATGTATGAAGATAAGGAGCACCTTTACTCGAACTCTGATCCTGAAAAACATTTCCACATCACAATTGTGTACAGACTGAGGGTGGCATATTTACCAATCCATTAATAAAAGCTCATTTACTCAGAATAGGGGTAGCCCAAGTCTTATAACTTGGTTCAGGCTCTAAATATCAACCCTTCATTCCAAGTGCTACTGTACTTCTGAGGGAAACAGACCTCACACTCACATCAGTGGGTAGAGGTCAGGCCTTTTGGATATCCATGGCTGAGGGTGAAAAATGAGTAATTAGATCAAACTCCCTTTGATTAAGCATGGACTGTATCATCATAAAACTTTGATTTTATACGGCATACATAACTGTTTTATTAATCTTTAAAATAGTTGTAAAAGTTAGTATTTTTCAACATCTTGCTTGGCTAGCCTATGGCCCACACTGGATAAAAAGTATTGTGAGCTTTCGTGGGCACAAGAAGTGGGTTGTGTCCATGAAACTCATGATACTATTTATATTTTTCTTTGTCTCTAAAGTGCTATAATTCCATTGTTGTTTTTTTAGTTACAGACTAACACAGCTACCCCTCTGAGACTGGAAAAAAATGTTTTATTTCTCAGCTTGTCATCATGCCAGAAGTGTTCAGTTGAGGCATCTCTTCGGAGACCATTCTCAACTTCAAATACATTTTTCAAAGTTTGGTAGGGATGAATTTAAAAATGATAACTCATAAAGGAAAGAAGAGGTTGACTTGAAAATTCATTCTGTGCTGGGATATATAGATATCCGTATAGCTATGTAAGATGGGTATCTAGTATAGCTAGAGCGTGTTTGGACATGAGCGTGTTCATGGTGTGTTGGCAATTGAAGCAGGGACTTTCAGTTTCAAGCAGCCAAGAAGTATTTGTACAAAACAACTTTGTTATGGACTAGGAAACTATAAGAAGAAACAGATGGGGAAAGAACACCAAATGGACAGCTATAAACATATATAAGAATTGGTGGAAATTGCACAACTTGGATCATAGCATTCCACCCAGGACTGTTTAAGTGGAATTGTGTGGGTGAAGGAAACCGAGATAAAAGACTAATGATGTCATGAAGTGAACTATAAATTAAGCTTCATGCATTTGCAGTTTAGCATCTTTCAGTAATCCAAAGCCCTCTTTGGATATGGTGTGATGTTTGTGGACTCTCTGTGCCTTGTGATTGGACTGAACCCCGAGTGGCAGTTGGAACTTCTGACCATGGACTCTGATGTAGTATAATTTGGGGTATAAATATGGAGTGAATGAGGTTCATTTTGCAATTTAATAAAAAGCAATTAGAGTATTATATGCCAAGAATGTATGTAGTATCTGCCTGCCCCCATACAGTAATATCTAAGACTAGTGTAAAGATTGCAAGGGTACATGGCATTATTGATACATACCAGAAAGAGTAATAATTATTCCAAGCCGTTCATTGTCAAACATATTTTGACAAGTAGGCACACTCTGCATTGTGCTATAGTGCCAATCAGAAGACCCTAGTAGATAACTTCTCCTCTTATTCCTCTCCTCCTTCTGTCCAAATGAGGTGTCTATTTGAACCTAGACAACTCTCCTAATCTTTCCTTCCAGTTTACGGTCCCTCGCTATGATTTTGGAATGTATAATGTTTTCTCTCTTTCTCCTTAGAAGGCAAATTATGTTCAGCCAGAACCCAACCACCCCAGAGCAGTCTGTGGGGTAAGTAATCCGTGCCTAGACATGAAAGGCATCATGTAACCTTTGTCATGGGCTCAGAAACATGCCTCTAAGTCTAAAAGGGTGATAGTATTTAAAAGCTGATTGAAGGCTCGTGTAATTTCTTGTACGCTTTAGCATCTTTTCCATTAATTGTACTAACTAATCATCTGCAAACATGAAAAAAAAATTTGCCTTGGGATGGTGTCAGGGTAATATGTGACTCAAGCACATACAGAGGTAACTTTGCAGTGAGTTTCTGGATAGAGCTGTGTGGGAAATGGTTTCCCATCCCACTAAAATTTTGATTGATTGAGGTTTTCTCTCCATCTCAAATCAGGATAAAACATGGAAATCTCACAAACTAACAAACTGTAATGTTTTTCTTTTTGGATCAATTGAAGCTTTTTGTTTGAATAATTTCAGAAGCGTTCATTTAGAGTTATACCTTTTTTCTGATTTAATTAGCTTGAATTTTAAAACAAAAAGTTGATTCACACTGGAAAAAAATGGAACCGAATTTTTTTTAAGGTAAATAACTAAAAAGTACAAAAGGAAATCAAAACTAAATGTGAAGATTTAAATTAAGAATTTCTTCTTCCTAAATTAAATTATGATTTCAGCTGGTAATTTAAATGGCTGTCATTTTCAAATCAGCCTAATTGTGCCCTTTGGCCTTCCACCGAATTTCATAATTTAGTAATGAAACAGAATAAAAGTTTCATTTTTTTAATATTATCCAACACTGCTGAATGTAAAACAGGCAGCAATTATTGCATGGGTGGCAATAAAACAGCTTGATACATGTTGTAAAATGTTGAAAAATTCATCTCTTACCAGTATGCATGGAGGGGAAGATATATTGCGCTCAAAGGCAATTTTTCTCTTCTGAGGATCCATGAACAAAACGTGGGGGAAAAGTTTTGAAACTGACACAACGTTTTATTACATCATGCAACCTGATCCTTTTCCCCAGACCCTTTTAGTTTCAACAAATCTGCATTTTTTTTCAGAATTAATTGAAAAATTTCTGATCAGGTTTATTTCATGTTCCAGACTAGACAGTAAATGATCCCATTCCATGCTATTTATAAGGAAAAAACAAATCCTTTAGACTATTTTAATTGTTAAAATCTGTTCCATTTTTAAAATACTATTTTCCTCCCACATGGCATACCCATAGACTTGAATGAGTCCTTGACATTATGGACAGAGTGTTTAGCAACAGTATGGCAGTAGGTGACTTTTCTGAAATTGCTTGTTGTTGACTGTTGCAGTGTCGACAGTTCATGGAGTCATAGGACACTAGAACTGGAAGGGCCCTCGAGAGGTCCTCAAATCCAGTTCCCTGCCCTCACGGCAGGACCAAGCACCATCTAGGTCATCCCTGATAGATGGTTATCCAACTTGCTCTTAAATATCTCCAGTGATGGAGATTCCACAACCCCCCAAGGCAATTTATTCCAGTGTTTAACCATCCGGACCTTTAGGAAATGTGTCCTAATGTCCAACCTAAACCTCCCTTGCTACAGGTTAAGCACATTGCTTCTTGTCCTATCCTGAGAGGTCAAGGAGAACAATTTAGGAAAAAGACCCACGGTGATTAACCCTATGACGCTGGCCCCATCTCCTCACTGTCACAGCTCTGCCCCAGGTTTACATCTACTCCTGGCTCACCGTATCGCCCCGCATGTGCTCATCACTGCTTCTTCATCAGAGGACAAAGGGAACAATTTTTCTCTCTCCTCCTTGCAATATCCATTTAGGTAATTGAAAACTGCTATTATGTCCCCTCTCAGTCTTCTCTTTTCCAAAGTAAAGAAACCCATTTCTTTCAGTCTTCCCTCACAGGCCATGTTTTCTAGACCTTGAATCATGTTTTTGCTCTTCTCTGGATCCTCTCCAATTTCTGCACGTTTCTTGAAATGTGGTACCCAGAACTGGACACAATACTGCAGGAGAGGCCTAATCAACGCAGAGTAGAACGGAAGAATGACGTCTCGTGTTTTGCTCACAACAATGTCAGATCCAGACATTTTAAATGTACGGACAATAGGCAGGATGGACACTCAAACCTTTGCAAACCCAGGGCCTCTCTCTGTTGCCCTTCTGTAGACAAGCCCTGAATCATTTAGGAACATATCACTCATCTTTTACTGCACATGCTCATTCTGCCCTGGAGTGTTGGACCTATGTCGAATCAGAATGATGTTTCTCAGGCAGGGCAAAGGCCATGCATTCTGGGGCTCCTTGAAAGGTTTATACAGTACAATGAGGAGATGGAGCACTTTGGACATTACGCTGGAGCAATGCCGCACCAGGAACCCACATACAGCATCCTGGCTATTTAGTGCACAGTGTCTGTTAGCAATGTGGTGTTCTATTAGACGTTAATAGATGTTTGGCTCTGTGTGTGTTTGTTTGTGTTCCCTCTCTGTACCTCCTCAGTTCCTTGCAAAGCAGACCTCATGTGAATTAACCAGTGGCCACAAAATCAGATAATTGATGACAGCACTGGGCTAGATTTATTTCCTATTGAAACAGTCCTAAGTCCTGTCTCAAAGGTTACAGGTACCTTATGAATGTGTATACCTGAAATGAGGACGTAGTTTGAATTGCTGTTTCTCTGCTGGGTGTAGCCAGGGGCAGTTACTTCAGGCTAGTGGAATTTCAAAATGGCGACTGGATGGGAACATGCAAATAAAGCCCAGGATATTTAAATCCCGGGCTTCATTTGCAACTTCGAATGCCTACATTAGCCTCCCTAGTTCGAACTAGAGGGCTAGTGTAGACATACCCTTAGAGACTTCCACTTGAGAAGAGATGTCTTTTTCTATTCCATTTGAAAATATTGTTTTCCTTCAGCACAGCATGCCCATTGCCTGTTACTGCTTTCCTTCTGCAACTCGCAACGTAATCTGTGTGATTCTGTACTGTCTGACAATGGAGACATTTTGTTTCATGAAATAACTTCTCTGCAGACATGAAGAGGATGAATGCCTAACGCAAACAAGAACATCCTATGAAACTCAAATGGAAACATTTCCTGGTCTTGGGTATGTGCCACCTACTGCTTCCCTTCCACTTATTGCTGTTGCCTTTCCCTTTGAACTATTGGTTACATTTCAGGTTTTTCCCCGACTTAAAAAATTAGAACAAGTTAGAATGAAAACAAAGAACAAAAGGAGAAGTGGTCTCTAATTGTAAGTGTTAAGGCCCATGAGAAGACCGAAGGCCCGCTGAAGGGTCTATTCCCATTTACTGTAGCCAACCGTAGAAAAGCGAAACATGTTTAAACCAATCTTTAAAACAAGGTTCCTCGTTCCAGGAGTGTCCCTAGGAATGCTCCACTCTGGGTATACTGGCGTGCGTGTAGTGCTGATCAGAGAGCTTCAGGATCAGTGTCCATTTCGCCCACCCCTGCACTGGGACAAGGCTAATCAGCACATGCATGCTAGCCTCCCAAGCCCATTTATACTAACCTAGACCTGGTGACAATGAAATATGTTTGTTCATTTAGATGCTTGCTTTTGTGGACAGATCTCTTTTTCTATTCCACTTTGAAAATACCAGTTTCCTCCAGCAGGGGATGCCCATAGACTTGAATGACTCCTTGAGCTCATAGCTAGAACGTTTAGTAAGACTTTGGGAGTAGGTGACTTAAGGTAGAAGATGCTTCCCCATAAGTAATTATGGTGCTGATAACAAAGGTCCTATGAAACTCAAATGGAAATGTTCCTTGTTCATGGGTCTGTGTCACCTATTGTAGCCCTTCCACTTATTGCTATTGACCTTCACGATGAACTATTGGTTAGATTTCAGGTTTTTCCTTGCAAAACAATGTAAAACAAAATAGACTGAAAACAAAGAACAAGAAACTGGTCTTTAATTGCAACCCTCAGTTTTATGGCCTCTCAGGAGACCGAACTGAAGGGCCACTGAAGGGTTTATTCCCATTCACTATTGCAAACCAGAGAAAAGCAAAGAAACATTAAAACAATAATTTAACACAAGATTCCGTGTTTGAGTAGTGTCCCTATGAGTGATCCACTGTAGGTGTGCTGGTATCCCTTTACTGCTGATTGGAGAACTTCGGGAGCAGTGTCTGTTGGGCCCACAACTGTGCTGTCTCTACTTCTGTCACTCCACAAAGGCCAATCAGCATAGCTGCACTTACCCCGTATTAGTGCCTTTTCACTTTCACGTTTCTGCTTATGCGAATCCAGTCCTGGAGACAATAAACCTGCATGGCCACTGAGAGACTTTTGCTTCTGGACACAGCTCTTTTTCAATTCCACTTTGAGTATATCAAAGCACAAAATACCCATAGAGCTGAATGAATTCCCGAGCTCATGGCTAGAATGTTTAGCAACACTATACCATGGAGTGACTTTTCTGTGGTTGCTTCTTGCTAATTTCCTACTGCATCTAGCAATGTAATCTGACGGTGGAGTCCTTTTGGTTGATGAAATAACTTCTCCTCTGCAGACGTGAAGAGGATGAACCCCTAGTCTATCTGAGAGACTCCTATGAAACTCAAATGGAGACGTTCTGTGTTCATAGGTACGTGTCCCTTACTACAGCCCTTACATTTATTGCTGTTGCCCTTTACCATAAACTACTGGTTACATTTCAGAATTTTCCTTTGAAAAGGAAAAAGTAGATTGAAAACAAGGCGAACTGGTCTTCAATTGCAACCTTTATTATTAAGTCCCCACAGGAGAGAGTCCTAAAGGGCCACTGAAGGGTCTATTTCCAGTCACTGTAGCAAACCGTGGAAAAGAAAAACAAGATTAAAATCAATGATTTAAAACAAGGTTTCTTGTTTGAGTCGTGTCCTGTGAATGCTCCACTGTACTGCTGATGGGAGAACTTCAGTGTCCATTTGGCTCGCCCCCGTTCTGTATCTATTCGTGCCTCAGCACAAGGCTAATCGGCATGTGTGTGCTAGCCTCCCAAGTCTATTTATACAAATCTAGTCCGGGTGACAATGGAATATGGTTGTTCATTTAGAGGCTTCCATGTGTGGACAGATCACTTTTGCTATTCAATTTTGAAAATATCATTTTCCTACAACACAGACTGTCCGGACTTGAGTGAAACCTGAAGCTCACGGCTAGAATGTTTAGTAAGACTTTGGCAGTAGGTAACATAAAGTAGAAGATGCTGCCACATAAATAATTATAGTGCTGATAAGGCAGCTAATATTATTTGCTGGAATACTTCCGAGTTGCCATATGGATAGTGGCTTGTCTAAATCTTCTAATTTTTTATATGCCTACATCTTAATAAATTATTTTTTTGAAAAACCACTCCCAACTCTGTTGTACATGTCTCCTATCACAGCTGTGTACAATAAATGTTATAAAATATAAGATGGGATAGTTATAGGAGATTAAATTTAGCTCTCATTCTATATGTCTTGAGAAACCAAATTTTGAAATGTTTTTTGCATAAATAGCATTTCTAAATGGCTTTCTGCTTTTTAATATCACAGGCGTCATTGTATCACAGGGCAAAATTATCTCAGGCTCTGCAACCTTCAGAAAACCAGTAGGCACAAATATATATTTTATGCAAGAATATCTCCTCTGATAGCAAATGTGGAACAGCCCCAAAGCTATTGTCTTCCTAGAACAAAGGGTGGCAGAATTTCCCTGTGTCCAGAAATCTCTTTGCATCAGTGAGTCTGTCTCCCAAAAACTAACGCAGAAAAGAAATGCAAAGAGACCACCAGTTACAGAACATTGGGATTAGATGATTATCATTAAATATGACGAGCAGAAGAAGAATGGAAGATGACCCTTGTAGCAAAATACTAATAACAAGAAAGATGCTCCCTCCTCTTCTGCAGGCCCCTCTTCTGCATTATGTTTGCAAGAACCAGTGTGTCATAGCTTTCAAACTCTAAACGTTTCAGTCCTCTTTCATTGGGTATCATGCTGTAGAAAGGGCCACAATAAACTCATCAGTCTGCCTATGCATCAGTACCCACGGTTGCATTCCACTCCCCATGTACAGTCAGGATATGGAGGTGGTGGAATCTCCCTCTCTGGAGATATTTAAGAACAGGTTAGATAGACATCTGTCAGGGATGGTGTAGACGGAGCTTGATCCTGCCTTGAGGGCGGGGGGCTGGACTCGATGACCTCTCGAGGTCCCTTCCAGTCCTATTATTCTATGATTCTATGAAA